AATTAACTGAATATAATGTATTAAGTAGGAATCTAGGAGTAATCCAAAGTAGGAATCCAATTGGAATCTATGGCTGACTTGAAATGTCTTTGTTAAATGCTTTAACAACATTGTTGTGAATTTTTGGGTTGGGGTTTTGAACAGTTTTTGAGTTGGTGGTTGGGGTTTTGAACAGTTTTTGAGTTGGTGGTTGGAGATTTGAACAGTTTTTGAGTTGGTTTTAAGTGTTCAGTTTTATATAGAGCAAATTCACAACAAATGTCTCAATGCACTTCATAATTTTAGTTGACCCACATATCAATTGCTATTCAACAGTACAATAAACTCAGTTAATGATTAAAGTAGTTTAAATGTTTGTAGCAAAGGAAAACCATCAAATTGCATTGAGTCATTACTTACAGCATTCACTCCTCCTGACCAGCAGGGGGCAACAGCATATCGCTTTTGTCGAGTTGCTGACTTTACAGCGATCCCTCATACAGACCGTGCATGAAGCGACGGGAGAAGAACTCCCCTCTAACAGGAAGAAACCTCCAGTAGAACCAGAACCGGGCTCAGTACCAGCAGCCATCTGCCTCGACTGACAGGAGCTCAGAGAGCAGAGACACAACTGGTCACCTGATCAGGAAAACTTTGCGTTACTGGAAGTGACAAGTTAACAGCAGGAGAGGGAGAAGGGGTAGGTGATGGCAGCATCATGTCAGCCAATGCACTTCTCCAGGAAGTGACCACAACCAATCAGAAACCCAGACCAAGTGTAGCTTCTATGGAGACAATAGTTGAAATAATGTAATGGTCCATAAAAATGCAAACACATTCTAACATCAACCAACAATCAATTGTAACTGACATTTAACAGTGGAAGACATTTTAAATTTCTAATAAATAAAATCAAGTCCATAAATAAAATTCAACTTCCAGCTGTGGTTGGGGCCTGGCGATGAATGGCAAAAAAAAATAAAAATCAGACGAAAACAAGGTAATCCAGGATGATTCCTGAAAGACAAGATAACAGGATATATCCAGGTCCAACCATTTAACTGAATGAAATCACACTTTCAAAACTTTTCAAAATTTCAAGTCAAGGTGGAGAACTGGATCAGAAAGCGTCTGCCTTACCTGCTCACATGGGAACACTTACAGTGTTTCCTCCAGAAAACCTGCAGAGCCCAATGGTAGGGTCACTGACATCATCCATCACTGGGTGGGCGATGAAGTCCTCTTCCGTCAAATGTTCAAAGGGACGATGAACTTTTCCGTCGGTCGATGGAGGAGCAATGAAGGGCATTAATGAGATGATCCAGGAGGATTCCTGAAGGCCAAGACGGGAAGACAACAGGATGCTGCAGGTTTCAGGTCAAACCATTTAACTCAGAATGAAATCACTTTTTAAAAACTCGCACTGGTACTCATCACTTCAACAGCAAAATACCTGCCGCATTTCTCGAGGAAATGCTCAGCCCGATTGTACGGTCACTAAGGTCATCCATCAATAGGTGGGGGGCAATGAAGTCCTCTGCCATCCGATGTTCAAAGGGATGATGAAGAACTTATCCGTCAGTCGATATAGGGGCGATCAAGTGCGAAATCAGATGACAAAGATGGTCCAGGAGCATTCCTGAACAGGACAGATGAAGATTCCAGGTCAAACCCTTTAACAATTCACAAAGAAAGTCAGAGTTGTGTCTCTTCAACAGCAAAATACCTGCAGCATTCCTTGAGAAATGCTACTGTGCTCAGTGGTCGGGCCAATACAATCATCCATCAGCAGGGGTTGGGGGGCGAAGAAGGCCTTTTCTGTCATTCTCAAGTGGATTCTACACATGCATTTTTAACTTACAACACGCATTTCAAACAGTACCCAAGATCAGAACACATACATTTCATATAGCCTACCGTGTTTTTCCTGCGTATCCAAGATCCGTTCTGATTGCTGTACCCAAAATCAGAACACATACATTTCATATAGCCTACCGTGTTTTTCCTGCGTATCCAAGATCCGTTCTGATTGCTGTACCCAAAATCAGAACACATACATTTCATATAGCCTACCGTGTTTTTCCTGCGCATCCAAGATCCGTTCTGATTGCTGTACCCAAAATCAGAACATGTGCATTTCATATAGCCTACCCCGTTTTTCCTGCGGCGAGGGAATCCAAAATCCATTCCAGTTACCATACACATGATCAGAACACAACCCATTCACATACCATTTTTGCACGTTTTTTCCTGCGTGTAATTGACCGCGTCGTTGCACTCGTTACCAATTTCCTTGAACTCATCCGATGACTTCAAATCCTTGACGAATGGCTACAGGCAGAAGCAAGCCACATTTCCTACTGTTGAGTTCCAAGTCCAGTACCATGGGGACCATTTTGATAGCCACATTTCCCAAATGTCTGAGGCCATTGCATGTCTTCAGAGTCTCCAACTCAACAAAACGGTTGATCAGTTTCCTCATCTTCTCAGTCCGCATACCAGGTGTTGTTGATAAGGCCTTAAATTCCCCAACCATCAACTCCAATCCATTCTTCATCACCATAGATATGCTGTGGATGCATGTGGTGACAGGACAGGAAAAGCTTCCCTTTAACAGGAAGACTTTACAAAACAAAAAAGCACTGCAGTTGCCAAGTATTTGTTAAAAGTGTTGAACTAAAGCAAAGCCTCACTGAGAAAGCATGTGGTGACAGTGTGAAGGAAAAACTTCCCTTTAACAGGAAGTCTTTTGTAGAATAAACACTGCACCAATTATTTAAATTGGTTAAAAGCTACAAAAGTAAGCTTAGGCAATGCCTTATGCTGAACACGCATGTAGTTGCAGTGAAAAGGAAAAACTTCCCTTTAACAGGAAGACTTTCCAAAACTTAAGTCAAACATTAGCCAAGTTACCTAAACTTAAGCAATGCTTCATATTGAGGCTCAATGTTGTGACCGTGAAGGAAAAACTTCCCTTTAACAGGAAGACTTTCCAAAGAAAAACCTAACAGTGCACCAGTTTAAATTTGTTAAAAGCCAAGTAAACTAAAGTTAAAGCAAAGTCAGCCAATCCTCATATTGAGGATTCATGTAGTGACAGTGAAGGAAAAATTTCCCTTTAACAGGAAGATTTTCCAAAAATTAACCCTGCACAAATTTAAATTTGTTGAAAGAAATTAAGTTTGAGGATCCATGTGGTAACAGTGGAGGAAAAAAAACTTCCCTTTAACAGGAAGACTTTCCAAAGCTTAAAAAAAAAAAGAAAAGTCAAACATTAGCAAAGTTGCTAAGCAATGCCTCATATTGAGGATCCATGTGGTAACAGTGGAGGACAAAACTTCCCTTTAACAGGAAGACTTTCGAAAGTCTGCATCAATCGTTTAAATTGGTTAAAATTAAAGCAAAAAGCAATTATTCGTATGATCACAGTAAAGGAAAAACTTCCCTTTAACAGGAAGACTTTCCAAAAATTAACACTGCACCAATTTAAATTGGTTGAAAGAAAAAAGCTCATTGAGGATCCATGTGGTGGCAGTGGAAGGAAAAAAACTTCCCTTTAACAGGAAGACTTTTCAAAAATTAACAGCGCCAATTATTTAAATTGGTTAAAAGTTGAGTAAGCAAAAGCAATGCCTCATATTGAGGATGCATGCAGTGACAGTGGAGGAAATGCTTCCCTTTAACAGGAAGAACCCTCCAGCAGAACCAGAAGTTGGCTCTGCAAGAAAGGTCATCTGTCACTACCCCTGGGGATTTGAAAGAAAAGAGCAGACAGAGAAAGCTACTCCAGCAGCATTTCTACAGGAGAAAAGGAAATTAGTTGCAGTAGAAGCTCCTTTGGTGCCTTTATCTAAGAGAAAAAAAAATAGTTAAGTGCAACACAAAGTCAGCCAGTAGCTTAGTCTAGGAAAGAAACTGGGTTAAAAAACACTGAAAACTGGTCCCACTGGATCATCTTGAAGAGAAACATTGAGTTAATTTCAGCTGAAAACCTGAAAATAAGAGCTGGATTAGACAGTGTGAACATTACCTGTGACCTCTGATCTTCGGCGCCAGAAGAGCTTGCTGTTGACCGTCGTCGTCCAGAAGAAATGAAATTGCAGGAGGCCGCGCATCGTTACGTCGCAAAACTAAATCCGTTTTCATGTTTTAATTTAAATTGAACGTAAATTTGATTGAGTTGTTATAGTATAGACACTGGGTTTATTTCAAATTGTTTAGATACAAAAAATAAAAAAGGTATGCATGTACAAATGTAAATGAGAATTTTCACCCAAATAAAGGCTCATTGTGATATTTACTATGCTTAAGTTAAATGACTTCAATCTAAACTGTATTAGCGAAATACTTGGCAGCCATCTTTCTTTTAAACTATTAACTTCAGATTCCAACACTAATTACACCCAAATCTCTAAAGAGCATAAGACCTGCGTTTCAAACAGCACAAAAATCTAAAAAAAAAAACTGAACAGCAGAATCCTTCTCAGCTCATTGACTCGCAGCGGAGTCGAACCAAACCAGCAAGCGAGAGGCCTAGCGTTGGCCTTCAACAGAGTTAGCTTCAGCAGCGTGAAGCACATCAAAACCCGCAACAGCTCCTACCCTGAGATGTCTTCTGGATCCGCCATCGGAACAGTTCTTTGACTTTTACCAACCTTTGACGGGTTGGGCGGATCCGCCAGGCACCTTGTAGGGATTCCTCAGCTTGACGGAAGCGATCCTCAACTTCATTGTAGATCATCTTGGTATATACATAATCGACATGCTGCTAGTTCCAGACGCCGTTTTTGTCTCGGATATTTCAGGGACGCCAGCAGCCAAACAAAAAGGGCGTCGAGACGACATGGCCATGTCGCTCCTCTTCTGCTGCTGCTTTATTTTAATTAACACAAACAATGGCTTCCATAACTTCACCAAGGACAAAACAAACTTCGAAAAATGTTTCTGAAATATAACTTACCAGATAACAAAGGCAGCCGTTCCTGCGGCATACTCGCCCACTCTAGCAGCTCGGCGCCAAATTACTAAGCCGCATCAACACGGAGAATATTATGAGGTAGATCAGCAAAAGTTCTCCATCATTTAGGCTGGGCGTTGATGATTCTTTTGTGATCTTAAGAGATCATAAAAGACTGTTTTGTTAATCCGGCTTCCGGAATATATGAATTGTAGAACGCTGGTTACATGTCTCCATGCCGCCAAGTGCAAGACGGATCTTAATTTGAACGCACACGTAGAAACTGCGCCGCATTTGTATTCAGCACGGCGCATGCGCCTCACGCTCATGAAGAAACAAACATGGCGCCAATGCAAATTATGAACTTGAAAAAAACAATAGAAATTCTCTGTACTTTTTATCCTCTGATCAGGATGTTGGGTTAGACCAGGGGTGGGCAACTCCAGGCCTGGTATCTCTAAAAGTTGTAGAAATACAACTTTTAGATGTATCTCTACTTCAACACACCTGAGTCAAATAATGAGGTCGTTAGCAGGACTCTGGAGAACCTGCCTGCACTTAGGAGTTGATTAAGCTATTGGATTCAAGTGTGTTGGACCAGGGAGACATCTAAGAGTTGCAGGACACCAACCCTCCAGAACCAAGTTTGCCCACCCCTGAGTTAGACATTATGGTTTCTTTTTTTAATAGAAACAATATGTTAGTGGCACATTTGGTTCAGAAACCCAATGTAAGGATTTTTTTTTAAGTAAAAATAAATCACAAGCTCACATCAATCTAATTTTATCAAGTTATTCTGGTGTTCAAAATATGTGTCAATTTTAGTACTAAAGGTGTATCTGCAAATAAAAAAGACAGGACAACCAAAATGTTCTAAAATGAACTTAAACATGCACTAAATAATGTTGCTAAGTCAGTTTTATGTAGAATAACTTGTTAGTTAAAGCTGTATCCTTTTCTTGAGGAAAAAATGCAAAAGGGTGAAACTCTAAACGTTTTTTCATTTATAAATTACTATTGTAAATAATAATAATTACATTAGTAATTTTAAGGGTTCAAATCAAAATTCAATTCAAATTCAAAAATACTTTATTGATACTAAAGTGAAATTAAGTAACTGATTAAGAAGACTGACAAGAGTTTGCAATCATCTTTTTACATTTGTACTTATTGTTATGGGCTGCACAGTGGCGCAGTTGCCTTGCAGCAAGAAGGTTCTAGGTTTGATTCCCGGTCAGGGGTCTTTCTGCATGGAGTTTGTATGTTCTCCCTGTGCATGCGTGGGTTCTCTCCGGGTACTCCGGCTTCCTCCCACAGTCCAAAAATATGACTGTCAGGTTAATTGGCCTCTCCAAATTCTCCCTAGGTCTCTGTTTGTGTGCATGGTTGTTTGTCCTGTGTGTCCTCTGTGTTGCCCTGCGACAGACAGGTGACTTGTCCAGAGTGTAAACCGCCTCTCGGCCGAAACGTTAGCTGGAGATAGGCACCAGCAACCCTCCCGACTTCACTAAGGCACAAGGGTATACAGAAAATGAATGGATGGACTTAATATTATTTATTTTATTTATTCCGTTTTTGAGGAACTGAAGGTGCTGACATCTTTTCAGTGTCACAACAAAGAACATGCTTTACCTAAAGACCTTACTTGTTATAACAAAAAACTGTACATTTTCAGCATCTCGATTTTAGTTTCAGGTTTTGTAGATTTATACTGATAAACTAAGTTAATCCAAACTGGATTTTTGGAAATGGAGAGAAGGCGATGTTACTCCGGTCCAGGCGGGGGCGCTACTGCTCCTTCAAGTCAGCTGGAAACAGTAGCAGGCGGAAGCAGGTCGAAGTGTATCAACAGAACCACATTCGCCTGGATTATTCCCTTTTATTAATTCCTGTTGGATTCTTGTTTGCGCGATGAGTTCAGGTGAGTTTGAGTTTCATTTCCTCTGATCAGTAGTGACTGAACCGGAGCTCCTAGTTCTACTGTTTGGACCGTTTAAGGATCATAATTCAGTTAGCATCATCCAAACCTGCTAACCAGAACCAGTGTTTGCCATTCGAATAAATGGACCCTGGTTATGTAGTTCTGGACTTTCTGCTTCGTATCTGTTTGGGTCTAAATTTAAAAAGAAAGAAAGACATTTTAATTTCTCCAGATCAGGAACCGCAGGACTGATAAAATATGAACTTCAGTGACGTCACGCACTGCAGAGCAGTGATGCATTTTAGAAGAATCCAAGTCAACTTTATTTATAAAGCACAAAACTTTGTAGAGCAAAACTCAAGGCCCGGGGGCCAAATATGGCCCACCATAACGAGGGTGGAGAGACACATAACAGAGCCTTCAGGAAAGCAGATTTGTGCCTAAATATTATTTTATTTATTGAATAAAAATAGTCCTGATATATATTATTAAGTATGATAATATTGTTATTTTGAGACCATTTTCAAGTAATATTATAAAAATGACATAATAATAATATGATATAATCTGGAAAACATTTTTAATATCCAAAATACATAAAGAAAACAAAAGAAACAACAAATAAAATTAATTTTGTCCCTGTACAAAATTGACCTTCAAAAATGAGCTAGTTGAGCTGACAGTGAAAACTTTTGTCATCCAGGTTTTGGTTTAAAAAAAAAAGAGAGAGACGAGAACAACGATAAATCATGCAAATGGAAATTAGTTAGCTAAATTTAATTTAGCTTAAATTTAATTTATCATATGAAAATTAATTTATCATATTAAAATGAAAAGCTACTCTTTTGCATCAGTTGGGGTTGAGTAACTTGTCCCCTGAGAAGAAATCACCCATGCCTAACTTATTCAGTAGGAGGATTGTACTTCTTTGCTTAATTAAATCAGGGGGAAACTTTTTGCGTCTGACTGTAAGCAGAAATCGTGAAATCTCTTAAGATCCTTAGGAAGTTTTCCTCAGAAAACAAGACAAGCAGCAGCACATTTTGGACAGTAGGGGGAGACAATGAGCTGAAATCTTAAAAATAAAAGACAGAGTCTAGCCAGCTTCATTTGGGGGCCAGAGCATGTTTATCTGTGCTTGTTTGTGTTCCAGGTGTGGCTATGAGCTCCACATGCCCCGGTCTGTACTGCGGTCGGATCATGGTGAACGGGACGGTGGAGGGAGAGTGTGGAGTGAGTACCAAACACCAGTTTTCATGTTTCCAGTCTGAACTGGGTCTGGACCTCTGAGACTGGGACAGTCTGTTCTTCC